CAAGGGAGGCGTGGAAGTTGGTTTCCTCTGTCACTGAAGCAAGCAAGCATCATGTTCAGTTTAAGCTGCCTGGCTGCCGGTCGCCATCTTGGCTGTCAGTTAATTTGCATATCTCGCTGATTAGCCAATGGGAAGGGTAGCAGTTGTACGCCAATTACCATGTTTCTCTTTTATTAGTGTAGATGATCACCATGTCTATAAATACAATTTATTTTCCAATCCATATGTCTTTTATTTCTTTTTCTTGCCTTATATTACTGACCAGGACCTCTAGTATGAATGAAGTGGTGAGAACATTTTTGCTATATTCCCAATTTCATCAAAAATATCCAGAAAAGTGCAGGAAAGAAGAGACTTTATTCAGTTGAAACAGTTTGCAAACCAGAGAAATGCAGGCTCCAGTGGAAACTGAAAGTACACTCTACCCAGACAAAGGGAGGCCACCTTTTATAGAGAAAGTTCCCAATTGGTCTAATTTTATGCAAACTAGGTTTCCAAATTCATACAGTTCTGAATGGTCTGAATTATGCAGTTCTGATTGGTCAGTACTGTGTGTTTTGATTGTTGAATAATCAGTATAGGACAGTTCTTATTGGTTGGTATAGATGCAAAGGAAGATATAATTGTGTAGTTCTTTTTATTTGTTTGTGTGTTTATTTATTGTTAATCCTCACCCTAGGATATTTTCCCATTGATTTTTTAGAGAGAGTGAAAGGGAGAGGTAGAGACAGAGAGAAAAACATCGATGTGAGAGATTGGTTGCCTCTGCACGCACTCCCAGACCACGGCCAGGGATTGAGCCTGCAATCAAGGTAGATACCCTTGATCAGAATCAAACCCAGGATCCTTCAGTTTGGCTGACACTCTATCCACTGAGTCAAACCAGCTAGGGCTAATTGTGCAATTCTGATTGGACAGGGCAGGTTTCAGTCCATTGGTTGAAAGACAAAACCAGGGGTTCCCTGCAGTGGTTTACTGTGTAAATAAGCAGGCATAGTGTGGGAACCTGAGAGTTCAGTCTGAGGTTCTTCCCAGTTTACAGAGTAAGTGAAGAGCCCCTGCAGGCAAATGGTCTTTAGGCTCTTATTTATAAAGGCCCGATGCATGAATCTGTGCACGGATGGGGTCCCTCAGCCTGGCCAGCGATTGGGGCTGTCTTGGGAAGTTGGCTGGCTGTGGGAGGGACTGCAGGAGTTTGAGTGTCTGCCCCTTGGTGGTCAGTGCATGTCATAGCTACCAGCCAGTCATCCAATCATCCAGTCTTAAGAGTCACTTAGGCTTTTTTTTTTTAATTTTCTATCGAGAGTTTTATTATTTTTATTTTAATTTTTTTGTATCTTTTTAAAATTAAATCTTTATTGTTAAGATTATTACAGTTGTTCCTCTTTTTTCCCCTCATAGCTCCCCTACACCCAGTTCTCACCCTACCCTCTGCCCTTATACCCCCCAATGTCCTCATCCATAGGTGTATAATTTTTGTCAAGTCTCTTCCCGCACCCTCTACACCCCTTTACCCCCCGAGAATAGTCAGTCCACTCCCTTTCTATGCCCCTGATTCTATTATATTCACCAGTTCATTCTGTTCATCAGATTTTTTATTCACCTGATTTTTAGAGATTTTAGTGTTCTGTCGATCTTTATTGTCTTAAAAAGTTTGTGTAAAACTGGTTTTATTTCTTATTTAAATGTTTGACAAGAACTCACTAGTGAAACCATCTGGATCTAGTCTTCTTTGTGGGAAATTTGAAAATTATTCATTCAAATTATGTAACAGATATAGTAATATTCAAAATTTTTATTTCTTCTGTCAGTTTCATAATTGGTGTCTTTTAAGGAAGTCTCCATTTCATCTAAGTTGTGGAATTTACTGGCATGAAATTGCTCATATGCCCTTATTATCCTTCTAATGTGTGTAGAATCTATAGTGATGTCCTCTCTTCATTCCTGATATTGGTAATCTGTGTTTTTGTGGGCTTTTAAAATTTTTGAAATTGATTTTAGAGAGGAAGTGGAGGAGAGATTTGTTGTTCCTCTTATTCATACAATTATTGATGCTTTTAAAATATATTATTTTTATTGATTTCAAAGAGGAAGGGAGAGGGAGAGAGAGAAACACCAATGATGAGAGAGAATCTTTGATCGGCTGCCTCCTGCACACCCGCACACTGGGGATGGAGCCTGCAATCCTGGGCATGTGAACCATGACCTCAACTGCTGAGCTACACCAGCTGGTTGATTCTTTTCTCATGATTTTTTAAATCCTCATCTGAGGACATGTTTATTGATTCAGGAGAGAGAAACACTGATGTGAAAGAGAAACATTGATCGGTTGCCTCCCATATGGGAATAGAACCCACAACCTAGGTATGTGCCCTGACCAGAAATCAAACCTGCAACCGTGTGTATGGGGATGACACTCTCACAACCTGAGCTACCCAGCCAGAACCTTTTTGTTTCTTTCTTGATCAGTCTATTTTGAGGTTTATCAATTTTATCAATCTTTTTCAAAGAATCAACATTTGATTTTTAATTTTATTGTTTTCCATTTTATTTTTGCTTTATTTCCTTCTACTTATTTTTATCGCTTAAGGTGGAAGCTTATTTTATTTTATTTATACCTTTCTTCCAATGTAAACATTTAAACTAGAAATGTATCCTTAAGTACTGACTTAGCTGAGCTCACAAGTTTTTGTTTTTATTTAAAATATTTTCTAATTATGGTTGTGATTTCTTCTTTGATACCTGGGTTATTTCCAAGTATTTGGGGATTGTCTAGATGTCTTTTTATTATAATTCATAATTTAATTCTGCTGTGGTCAGCAAACATATCTTTAATTATTTCAATCTTTTTAAAAAATATGTATTTTATTGATTTTTTACAGAGAGGAAGGGAGAGGGATAGAGAGTTAGAAACATTGACGAGAGAGAAGCATCGACCAGCTGCCTCCTGCACACCCCCTACTAGGGATGTGCCTGCAACCAAGGTACATGCCCTTGGCTGGAATCAAACCTGGAACCTTTCAGTCCCCAGGCTGATGCTCTATCCAGTGAGCCAAATCGGCTAGGGCTATTTCAATCTTTTAAAATTTGTTTTTATGGCCCAGTCTAGAGTCTATCTCAATATTCCATCTGAACTTGAAAGAAAACGTATATTGTTGATAAGTGCAGTGTTCTATGTTAATTAAGTCAAAATAGTTTATTGTAGCTGAAACCGGTTTGGCTCAGTGGATAGAGCGTTGGCCTGCGGACTGAAAGGTCCCAGGTTCGATTCCGGTCAAGGGCATGTACCTTGATTGCAGGCACATCCCCAGTGGGGAGTGTGCAGGAGGCAGCTGGTCGATGTTTCTCTCTCATCGATGTTTCTAACTCTCTATCTCTCTCCCTTCCTCTCTGTAAAAACTCAATAAAATATATTTTAAAAAAAATAGTTTATTGTATTGTTCAAGTCTTCTACAAGTATATCCCTATTGATTTTCTGTCCAATTAAGTACTCAGAGAGGAATGTTGAAATCTCCTATTATAATCATGAATGTCTATTTTTTTCTGTTCATTCTGTCAGTTTTGCTTTATATATTTTGAATCTCTGCAATTGGGTGCATACAAATTCAGGATTTTTATGTCTTCTTGATATATCCCTCATATCTCTGGTAATCTTCTTGATCTTGAATTCTACTTTGTCTGATATCAATTACCACTCTACTTTCCTGTGACTAATGTTTGCATGATACATTTTTTTACTTTTAGTCTGGGTTTTAATATTCAAAGTATTTTTATCATACAGTTGGATCTTGCTTTTTAAAAATCCAGTTTGAAAATCTCTGCCTTTTAATTGGAGCATTTAATACTTCCTCAAAATAAACACTTCCTAGAACTGATAGTACCTATTGTTTGGTATTCATTCCCACCTTTTATTAGCATTCCACAGGAAAAGATTAAGTGACAGGGTTACTGCCTCTTCTTCCAGGTTGTCTGTGACACAGTTTTCTCATCTGTAAAGAGGGAATAATTGTACTTACCTCATAGGGTAGTTATAAGAATAACATGAGAAAATCCATATAAAGCATATAGTAGATGCTCAGTAAATGAAAGCTACAGATAGCGTTAGATCATTAGATGATAGTAATAACAGATTATTATTTCACTAAGCATCTTCTTTCCATTTGGTTGATGAAGTGTTGATTTAAGAAATGAATCCCACTTTACAGTTATCAATTTATCTCATATACATCCTCATCTGATGAAAAACTACTGGAGATCTGCATAGTATAATGATTTTACATAGTCTTTTTTCTGTGTTCATTTTTCAACCATATGCTTTTTTTACTTAGTTTTTTAAATTAAAATTTCTGTTGAGACCTATCAGACTGTGCACTTTAAACATGTGCATTTTATTATATGTAAATTATACATCAATAAAGTTGATTTTAAAAACTAAAAAAAAGGAAAAATTCTGTCACATGCATGTATATAATGTACCTATATAAGTTAAAGCCTAATGGGAAAACCAACATCCAGGTGTCTACTTACCAGCTTAAGAAATTGTACAATCCCTTAGAAGCCCCTTGCATGCTTCACTGTTAATCATTATTTTCCTCATAGCTTTGCCATACATGTATCTCGGTAATAGTCTTGACTGCCTTTGACCTTTATATAAATAGAATCATGCTGAAGGTATGCTTCTGTGACTACCTGCTTCAGCTCATTATTTTTAAGGTTTATCTGTGCTTAAATGTGTAGTGGTTATTAACTTTTACTTCTCTACAGTCTTACATTATATAATCCACCATTCTACTGAGTGCCTATGGGCTGTTCACAATTTGGGGATTTTCCAAACAATGCTGTGAATATTGCTCGTGCATTTCTAAGGTAACATGCTGGGATGGAATTGCTGGGATTGTGAGGTAGGTGCATGTTCAGCTCAACTAGTTAATGTCACCTGTTTCCAAAGTGGCTTGTACTAATTCATCTTTTCACCAGCAGGGTAAGAGGTTCCTCTTTCTCCATGTCCTTGCTGACATCTACAGACACATTTTCACATTCTAACTCTTCTGCCCACTTGAGTCTAACAGCCAACACTTAGTGTTCATTTAAACTGTGCCAGGCTCTGTATTCATGATCTCATTTCACAAGAGTTGTACCTATTATATATTGTCATTTATGACCAAGAGAACAACACTTTGTCCTTCTTTGCCTATTTCTTCTGCCTGGACCCAAGGCTATCCACTGTGGCCACCTCATCTCTTCTTCCTGCTAACTTGGGCAGAGCCAGGTCCCAGCAGGACCTCAGTCCCACCTTGGACTCTTTCTTCCTTAGGCTGTTACTCCTTGTCAGTCCGCCTCAGCCGCCCTGCATCCTGGGACCGGATCAGACACTACAGGATCCAACGCCTTGACAATGGCTGGCTGTACATCTCGCCGCGCTTCACTTTCCCCTCACTCCAGGCCCTAGTGGACCATTACTCTGGTATGGCCTTTCCTTGCCTCCATGAGAGTAGACTGGGATGTGAGTTTAAGGGGTCAGAGAATCCTTAGACACTTTACCTGCTAAAGAATATCCAGACAGATGGAAGAAGGGCCTCCCCTACCCTCATGCCAGTCCTTGTGCCAAGAAACACAGACTGGCAGCTGTATCTTTTTTTTAAAATATATTTTTATTGATTTGAGAAAGGGAGAGAGTGATAGAAACATCAATAATGAGAATCATTGATCGACTGCTTCCTGCATGCCCCACACTGGGAATCAAGCCCACAACCTGGGCATGTGCCATGACCTAGAATCGAACAGTGACCTCCTGGTTCATAGGTCAATGCTCAACCACTGAACCACACCATCCAGGCAAGGCAGTCCTATCTTTATCCCACGTGTGAGTGCAGGCCAGTAACTCATCCACGGTAGTTCCGAGTCAAAGCCCCAGTGGGAAGCACAGTTGTCTCTACAGGAACTAGGCCCAAATCTGTTGCTATTGTGGAATTCAAGTTGATTCTTTTTTTTTTTTTAATATATTTTATTGATTTTTTACAGAGAGGAAGGGAGGGAGATAGTCAGAAACATCGATGAGAGAGAAACATCGATCAGCCGCCTCCTGCACATCCCCCACTGGGGATGTGCCCACAACCCAGGTACATGCCCTTGACCGGAATCGAACCTGGGACCTTTCAGTCCGCAGGCCGACGCTCCATCGACCGAGCCAAACCGGTTTCGGCTCAAGTTGATTCTTAGCATTTTCTGGTGCCTGTGCAATAACAGGCACTGGAGGATGTAGAGGGGAGAATAAAACTGGGAAAACTGATCAGGGGTTTGCTGGGAGGTTGCTCATGCGATAGATACTGAGCATCCCTTAGTTTTCTTCCCGAAGTGCTTTCCTTGCCAGAAACTGGGCTCA